ATTATGATGCTAGGTTATGGTGAATGGTGATGTTGTCTCAAGATGATGATGATGATTGATAATGACAACTGACCATCATTATCAAAGGCATACGTAACATAGGGGGAACAGAAACAGAGGCACATGTTACACAATGGGGTTGATCTACTAAAGGCAAATAGGCTCTTCACTTTGCAAGGAAGGTTATACTTTACTGAGCCACCTGAGATACTGGGTAGCTCCCTGCCTGATCCCTTGGACCAGCTTACTTTCTATCTTGCTTCTGGTGAACCTTGAACTTCTTGATCCTCCTATGAACTACCTACTTAAGCCATGCCTTTCCACTTCCTGTTCACCAGATTATTGTGCTCTTCTCCAGCCAATATCTTGCACCTTATGCTCCTGCTGCCATCTGCTTCATCATCACAATTTGTTACTGACCTTTGGTTTGCTCCTTGGCTATGCTTTCGCTTGATACCAACCTGCAACGGCTTGTTACCAACCATTGGCTTGTTCCTTGACTATGCTTCCACTTGATTCCAACCTGCAACCATTTGTTGCTGATTTTTGGCATGTTCCTCGACTATGCTTCCATTTGATCCCAACCTGCAACCTTTTCATACCAGCCTTTGGATTGTTCCTCAGCTATGCATCCACTTGATCCCGACCTGCAACCATTTGTTACTGACTTTTGGTTTGTTCCTCAACTATGCTTCTGCTTGATCCCAACCTGCAATCATTTCATACTGACCTTTGGCTTGTTTCTCAACTATGTTTCCACTTGAGCCCAAACTTCAACTACTTGTTACCAACCATTGACTGGTTTATCAATTATGCTTCTGCTTGATCCCAACATGCTACATCTGCTAACGCACCCTGGCTTCTCACCATCTGGGGGGCAATCCTGAGGACCTTGAATTGGTACTAGCACACAGTGAAACCCATCTCCACCATCAGGAGCTCTGGTGAAGACCAGTCTGTGCTTAGACCCCATGACTTGAATAAGCCCACATCACCTGCCAGAGTAATCTGCTTGTGTATTTCCCTGTTGGTTTCTGTGTGAGCCTTTCCACTGCTATAGCCACTGGCATCATAGCCTGGCCCCTGATCGTGACATTAACAAGGGGCATAACTCAAGCAGTACATAGATAGGCTAGTTTCTTATAAGTTCACAACCACAGTATATAAACTTTGGGATTTTAAAGGACCAAAAGATCACATATGAAACCCAACCCGTTTCAATAAAAAATAATCTTGTTCAGGAGTAAAACAGTAATCTATCTGTAATAAAAACATGTAATCAGTTGTTTAAATGCAAACATTGAGGGAGAATGTCAACAGCACACCAAGGATCACCAATATGGATCCAAAAGTTTTAATGAACGATCTCATAAAACTTTCATTAAAAATCAGTTCATTAATACTTTTGGATACATATTGGTGATACACACAGCCATTTTAACTCAGGAACATGTGCATTTGGATTGTACACTTAAACTCAAACATTGGCCACAATCAACCTACACATTAGGCATTGGTATACATTACATAGAAATCACACATATAGCTTACATAGCCCCGAATGTATCATCTGGAGTACATTGTCAGTCTGCTAGTAAACAAGGAAGTCCAAGCGGTTGCCTTAAATCCCATCAGGGTAAGGAAAGATGACCTCCAAGGGTCACCAAGAGAACCCCAGAATAAAATGTACTATAAAGTACTACCCCAACACTACACTACTCCCCCTCGCTGGCTAATCCCAAAAAACAAATGAAATAAACCAATAAATGACATACAATAAATACGTACAATAAAATAGAATGCACATAAAACAGTTTGAATCATCCAAAATGGCTCATACAAAACTTATAAGTGACTAATGAATGCCACTGCTGCAATTCAGTGAATACAACAAGCCAATCTCTCACAGTTCATAAAGTGAGCTGATCCGCTAAGGGATCCATAGTGGAAAAAAATTAATAGATAATGTGTAGATAAAGAAACGCCAGTGAAAGAAAAAGTCCTGACGGGACTTCAGTATTTATGAACTATAATAAACATAAAAGGTGAATCCCCAAATGTGGGATCAATAATCGCACTAATACTAATTCATCATTTATTGGTTTATTTCATTTGTTTTTTGGGATAAGCCAGTGAGGAAGTAGTATAGTGTTGGGGTAGCGCTGCACCACTTCACTTTATATTTTTGCACAATATCAATTTGGTATATGGTTGGGTGTTAGCAGCCCCCTCCCCATAATTGTTATTAGTCCAATTTTGAGTAGCACAGGAGGTTCCTATCGTTTTATTTGTACTGTAATCATCTATAACCATTTATGACCACTGATAGGTAAAATTAATAACTTTGATTATCTCATGACAGTGGCAAACGTTTGCTGGATATATTAGGCAGCAAGTAAACATGTTTTTCCTGAAGTTGATGTGTTGAAAGATGAAAAAAATAGGCAAGCTTAAGGATTTGAGCGAATTTGACAAGGGCCAAATTGTAATGGCTAGACGACTATGTCAGAGCAACTCTAAAACTGCAGCTCTTGTGGATGTTCCCAGTCTGCAGTGGTCAGGACCAACCAAAACTGCTCAAGTGAAGGAAAACTGGTGAATCAGTGATGAAGTCATGGGTGGCCAAGGCTCTTTGGTGCACTTGGGGAATGAAGGCTGGCCCCTGTAATCCGGTACAATAGAAGAGCTACTGAAGCTCAAACTGCTGAAACAGTTAATATTAGTTCCGATAGAAAGGTGTCAGAACAAACAGCACATCCCAGTTTGTTGCATATGGGGCTGTGTAGCTGCAGACAGGTCAGGGTGCCCATGCTGACCTGTGTTCACAGGTAAAACTGCCTACAATGGGCACTTAAGCATTAAAACTGGACTACAAAGCAATAAAAGAAGGTGGCCTGGTTGAATGTATTCAAGAATGCTTTGATGAACACAACAAGTTTTAAGTGTTGACTTGGCCTCCAAATTCTCCAAATCTTAATTCAATCAAGCAACTGTGGGATGTGCTGGAAAAACAAGTCTGATCCATGGAGGCCCTATCTCGTAACTTACAGAACAAAGTCTGCTACTGGCAACTTGGTGCCAGATACCACAGCATACCTTCAGAGGTCTAGAGGAGTCCATTCCTCAACCATGTATGTTGGTTGATCATAATTTTATGGCTGATCGGTGTAATATGACATCCCCTTAGTATAAAATTGTTTGGTTATTATTATTATTATGCAGGATTTATATAGCGCCAACAGTTTGCGCAGTGCTTTACAACATTTACAACAGTACAATTACACTACAAATTAATACAGGAGGATTCAGAGGGCCCTGCTCGTTAGAACTTACAATATAAGAGGGCAGAGGGTCGAGAGATACAAAAGGTAATAACTGTGGGGCATGGGCTGATGGACAAAATACATGTACAGTTGTCATGTGGGGGCAGGATAGGCCTCTCTGAAGAGATGAGTTTTCAGGGATCGTCTAAAAGTGGACAGAGATGGAGATACTCAGACACATTGGGGAAGGGAGTTCCAGAGGATGAGAGTGGCTCTGGAGAAGTCCTGGAGGCGAGCATGGGAGGAGGTGACAAGGGAGCTAGAGAGCAGGAGGTCTTGGGAGGAAGGAAGAGGACAATTTTGTTGGTATTTTGAAATCAGGTTAGTGATGTAACTGCAGGCTGAGTTGTCGATGGCTTTATAAGTTGTTGTAAGTATCTTGAATTTTATTCATTGGGTGAGTGGGAGCTAGTGGAGGGACTGGCAAAGAGGGGTGGCAGACACTGAATGGTCGGTAAGGTGGATTAGTCTGGCAGCAGCATTCATGATGGACTGGAGGGGGGATAGCCTATGCAAAGGTAAGCCAATGAGGAGGGAGTTGTAGTAGTCAAGGTGAGAGATGACCAAGGACTGAGTCAGAAGCTTAGTGGTGTCCTTGGTTAGGAAGGGGTGTATCTTGGAGATGTTGCGGAGGTTGAGGTGGCAAGCTTTGGACAGTGATTGGATGTGGATAGGATAGTTCAGAATCCAGGATTACACCTAGCACACTGGCATGTGGGAACGGGTTGATGGTTGAGCCATTGATTTTGACAGTGGAAGGGGCATGTCGGGGAGGAAATATTATGAGCTCCACTTTGGATAAATTAATTTTCAGGAAGTGGTGTGACATCCAGGCTGATATGTCTGTAGTAGATTCATGATGCATGAGGAGACTGATGGAGTGAGCTGGAGGGGTAGAGAGATACACTATTATGCCAAAAGTATTGGGACTTCTGCCTTTACACGCACATGAACTTTAATGGCATCCCAGTCTTTGTCAGTAGGGTTCAATATTGAGTTGGCCCCGCCCTTTGCAGCTATAGCAGCTTCACCTCTTCTGGGAAGGCCATCCACAAGGTTTAGGAGGGTGTCTATGGGAAAGGTTTGACCATTCTTTCAGAAGCGCATTTCTGAGGTTAGGTGCTGATGTCGGATGAGAAGGCCTGGCTCACAGTCTCTGCTCTAATTCATTACAAAGGTGTTCTATCAGGTTGAGGTCGGAACTCTGAGCAGGCCAATCAAGTTCCTCCACCCCAAACTCGCTCATTCATGTCTTTATGGACATTGCTTTGTGTGCTGGTGGCAGTCAAGTTGGAACAGGAAGGGGCAATTCCCAAACTGTTGCCACAAAGTTGGGAGCATGAAATTGTCCAAAATGTCTTGGTATGATGACGCCAAAAGAGTTCCTTTCACTGGAACTAAGGGGCCAAGCCCAACTCCTGAAAAACAACCCCACACTATAATCCCCCTCCACCAAGCTTTACACTTGGCACAATGCAGTCAGGCAAGTACCATTCTTCTGGCAACCACCAAACCCAGACACATCCATTGGATTGCCAGACAGAGAAGCGTGATTCCTCACTCCAGAGAACATGTCTCCACTGCTCTAGAGTCCAGTGGCAACATGGCGGCATAAGCCGTGGCGGCATAAGCCACTGCATCGAACTTGGTGATGTAAGGCTTGGATGCAGCTGCTCGGCCATGGAAACTCATTCTATGAAGCTCTCTACACACTGTTGTTGTGCTAACCTGAAGGCCACATGAAGTTTGAAGGTCTTTAGCTATTGAATCTGCAGACAGTTGGCGATGTCTGAGCACTGAGCACTTCAGCATGCACTAACCCCGCTCTGTCATTTTATGTGGCCTACCACTTGGTGGCTGAGTTGCTGTTGTTCCCAGTTGCTTCCACTTTGTTATAATCCTACTAACAGTTGACCGTGGAATATTTAGTAGCAAAGAAATGTCACGGATGGACTTATTGCACAGGTGGCAACCTATCAAGGTACCGCTCTTGAATTCACTGAGCTCCTGAGAGCAACCCATTCTTTCACAAATGTTGGTAGAAGCAGTCTGCGTGCCTAGGGGCTTGATTTTATATACCTGTGGCCATGGTGGTGATTGGGACACCTGAATCCAAAGATTTGGAGAGGTGTTCCAATACTTTTGGCAATATAGTGTAGATTTGGGTGTCCTCAGCATAGAAATTGTATTGAAAGCCATGGGAGGCTAATCAACTGACCCAGAGAGGAGGTGTAGATTGAGAATAGGAGGGGTCCCAGAACAGAGCCTTGGGGAACCGCAATGGAGAAAGGAAGAAGAGAAGAGGAAGTAGAATTGTAAGTGACACTGAAGGTGCGGTGGCATAGATAGGATGAGAACCAATGAAGAGTACAGGCACGGAGACCAAAGTAGTAGAATTTTTGAGGAGGAGGGAGTGGTCCACTGTGTCAAAGGCAGCAGAAAGGTCCAGAAATAGGAGTACAGAATAGTGTCTATTGGTTTTAGCCGTTAGTAGATAGTTTGTAAGTTTGAGGAGAGCAGTTTCCATGGAGTGCTGAGGGCGAAATCCAGACTGAAGGGGATCAAGAAGGTTATACTCAGTGAGGTGGTCGCTCAGCTGGTTGCAGACCAGGCTTTCAAGGAATTTGGAGGAAAAGGGTAGTAAGGAGATGGGTTGTAAGTTGTTAGGATTGGTGGGGTCTTGTGAGGGTTTTTTAAATATGGGAGTGACTAGTGCATGTTTTAGAGAGTTTGGGAAGATGTGGAAGAGGGGGAGAGATTGAAGATGTGAGTTAGAGAGTGTAAGATGGAGTCAGAGTATGACTGTAGCATTTGTGATGGAAGAGAGTCCAGGGAGCACGTGGTTAGGTGAGCGATAAAAAAAAGTTTAGCAACCTCATCTATAGTAGTGGGGTTGAATGTGGGAAGTATTGATTGTCTCTGTGGATGTGGAGTGTTAAGTAGGGGAGGTATCTGTGCATTGGAGATCTGCTCACGAATTGTAACTATTTTCTTTTTGATTGGCACTCTCCTGGGCAGTGAGTGAGTTAGTGGGTGAAGGCAGTGGAGGATGAAGAAGAGAGTTGAAGGGAGAGAAGAGTTGAGGGAGACTGGATGAGAAGGTTTTATTGAGAGTAATGAAATAGGTCTGCTTGGCACTGTGGAGCTGGAAATATTATTTTTGAAGGGCAGATTGATATTGGTTGAAGTCTTTCTGAGACTTAGTCTTACGCCACAGACGCTCAAGAGCGCAGCTATGTTTTTTTGAGACCTCTGTTTGTCATCTGTTTGCCAAGGTTGTAGGGGTTGGGGCCTGACTGTGTATGTAGCGAGGGGGTCGAGCTTGCCTAGGGAGGATGACAGTGAACTATTGTAGACAAAAGTGGCTAGATCTGGGCAGGACAAGGTTGAAATTTTGTCACAGAGATGGTCAGTAGCAGATTAGAGAAGAGAAAGGTTGAGAAAGATTTCTACAGGTAACTGTTAGGTTATCTTTGTATATGTTGTGAGGGGCATGACACCATCGACTCAGTGGAACAGTCTGGGAAGCTAACAGAGGAGGAGGAGGAAATTTGCAAGCTTTAATCACTTTCTGTCCTAGGTTGACAACGTTGCTCCTCCATAGATATAGTGTAGTGAGTCTCAACTAGGTAGGAAGCAGGTTACTGGCTGGATAAGAAGATGAAATTAAAAGGCAAAAATCCTGACAAAACTAATTCAGTCACAATATTCAAAGAGTCGTAAGTTGCAATATATTCAAATTTTTGCTACATCCTGATGCAGGTCGAGATCTACCAGGAATCAGTGGTTAAACATCTGGTTAATGCATTCCATCATTGTGGAAAATCGCAACAATGCCTCCTCTGCCACAGTGGTTGCGTAAAGTTGAGTTTATTCAATATTGGGGAGTATGACTAGCTCTGTAAAGGGAAAGGAAGAGAAATTTAACAAGACATGGTTCTACTAGTTGGAGTATTCCTGCACTGCTGAATTTAAGCATGTCTTGGGCCATTCGCCTCCTCTGTCCCAATAATGACAAAGCAGGAGTGAGTAACTGTGGTAAAGTATAGCCCTAACCTTATTCAACAGTAGGTTGTTCTCAGCTATGACTAAGATTGAAGGTCTATTTCTGTCTCTTCGGAGTGGTTGGGGAGAAGGTTGGACCTTGATCTCCTTCTCCAGACTTATCCCCACTCTTTTTTTTCTTTCTCATCACCTTTTTTTGCCTTGAATTTTAACTTTAATCTTCAAGCAAGACATCTGAGAGCTGTGGTCCATATCCTAGATAAAATCCTGCCCATGTTTTATCCATATCCTAGCTATGTACTGAAAAATGAGCTGTGAGTCCTCTTCTCTCTTCTAGCCCTAACCCTAAAAAAACAAGTGTTTAACCTCCTTAGCGGTATTCCCGAGTGTAGCTCGGGGTAAAATTTCTATACCAAAAGCGGTAACCCTGAGCTACACTCGGACTTACCATGCGGCGTTGCTCTGGGGGTCCCTGCAGCACTTACCTTGTCCTTCGCTCCTGCGATGTGTCCCCTGCAGAGTCCCTGGCCATCTCCTCCGGCCAATGCCGGCATCCGGCTTCCGTGTTCCGGTCCCTGTGACGTCGGGATGTACGGGCGCCGGAACCGGCGGGAAATTTTATATTTTTAAAAAGTTTCATTTTTGCTGTCATTGCTGTTTCAATGCATTTCACATATATTTTGTCCCTTCTGCTTTGTCCGGCGCCCTGCCTGCATTTTGAATGTTCTTTCTGCCTGCTGGAAACTTAGAAAAGTCCATGGCATCCAAAAAGCGTCCCTTTACATCAAAAGTGGTTTTAGACCGGCTAGAGAACAGCGATAGTAAATCAGAACCACTTGCAGAATTGAGTGATAATGATTCGTGGGGGAAATTCGTCATCAGACGCTGAAAGCGATTCTGCGACTTGCGAATTTGCCTCTGTATTTCACATTTCAGTGTTTTTGGTTTGATTATATTATTGAATTAAATGTATTATTATTATATTATTATTTTTTATGATTATTTATTAAATTATAATTTATGATTTCGCATTTCAAATTTTATCATACCCGGGATGTTTACTAGACTCTTGTTCGGACAGATTTCAGTGAGTTATTCCTAAAAATTACAGCCTACAATAAAAAACTACATATTTCCATGCAAAAAAATGGTACCGCTTTCAGCACAAAAAATCAGAAAGAATCATACCGCTAGGGAGGTTAAAGGGACTATATAGACTATGTACACTCTTTTAAGGGTCGCTCTCCTGAGTAGTATGTTTCAAAAAGTGAAACCTGGTGGGCTTGGACACCTTACCATAATGAAGATATGATAGCCCCCCCCCCCCCCCCGGCAAAGTCAAGTGAAGTGACTCATTCCATGAATATTGTATACGGTCACCTGCACTGCATAGCACAGCTGTGGCTGCCCGCCTTGATACTTATATGGCCAAATAAATAGTAACTTTGTCTTTGAATACCTGCTTTTTTTGACATACAGGTCGTGTTGCCAATTTTCTGCTGTGGATAATGTTTGGTTTTCTTTATGAAGGGTGGTTTGATAAAGTACTATTTTTGTTTTGTGGTCTTTCTGGCTTGTAAATTGTTTTTTTTTTTTTCCTTACTTAAAAAAAGACTTTGTAAATAAAGAATGCAAAAAAACATTTTTTTTTTTTAATTTTGCTCTTGGGTTTGGATCTAATTTAGAACAAGGTCAGCAAGCCCTGCACACAGTCCTTCCTCCAGACTCCGCTGCTCTCCTCTTCATCGTAAAGTGGAGACTGGGACAGGGGCGGACTGACCATTTGGAAACTCGGGCACTGCCCGAGGGCCCAGGGTTAGTAGGGGGCCCCATGAGATGCCCCTGATACCTTTTCCATAGGCTTTTTTGAGTTTGGGCAAGGACACAGGGGCCCCATGATCCACTATTGCTCGGGGGCCCCATGAGTTGTCAGTCTGCCCCTGAACTGGGAAAATTCACATTACTGGTTAGAGGGCAGGGTCGGGAGCTGCTGGAGTTCATTTTTCACATTAAGTAGCAGGTGATTGGCTGCCTGGAGGTCCTAGCAACCAGTCACTAACTTGTTAATGTGGAACATTAACTTTGGCAGCTCCTGCCCCCCCCATCCAGTACATTTGATAATTTCTGCTCTCAGCTCTCTGCTGGTGTGAAGGGGACAGAAGACATTGCTTTGGGGGGGGGGGGCAGAGGACACTACAGTGGGAGGCTGTGTAAGGGACAGAGGACACTGCTTTGGGGGGCACAGGGCACTACAGTTAGGGGGGTGTGAAGGGAACAGAGGACACTGCTTTGAGGTAGCACAGGACACTGTTATGGGGATGCAGATGACACTACAGTGCGGGAGTGAAGGGGACAGAGGATACTGCATTGGGGGGGGGGGCGCAAGGGATGCTACAGTTGGGGGGGAGGGATATAGGACATTACTCTGGGGTGCAGAGGAGACTACAGTGGGGGGGATGAAGGCAATAGAGGACACTGAATTGGGGGGGGGGTGCAAGGGACACTACAATGGGGGAGGGTGTGAAGGGGACAGAAGACATTGCTTTGGGGGGCAGGAGACACTACAGTGGGGGAGTGAAGGGGACAGAGGACACTGCATTGGGTGGGGGGTGCTAGGGACACTACAGTGGTGGGAGGTGTGAAAGGGACAGAGGACATTGCTTTGGGGGGGGCAGAAGACACTACAGTGGGGGGTGTGAAGAGGAGAGAGGATACTGCTCTGAGGTGCAGAGGACACTACAGTGGAGAGGGGAGAGTGAAGGGGACAGAAGACACTGAATTGGGGGGGGGGGCGCAAGGGACACTACAATGGAGGGAGGGTGTGAAGGGAACAGAGGACATTGCTTTGGGGGGGGCAGAAGACACTACAGTGGGGGAGTGAAGGGGACAGAGGACACTGCATTGGGCAGGGGGGGCAAGGGACACTACAGTGGTGGGGGGGTGTGAAAGGGACAGAGGACATTGCTTTGGGGGGGGGGCAGAAGACACTACAGTGGGGGTGTAAAGAGGACAGAGGACACTGCTATGGGAGGCATAGGACACTATAGTGG